TCTATTTCTTTTGCTCTGAATTAGATCTTTTGGGTGCCATGACAGTCTGTTTTGCTGTTTTCAAGTAGGAAATGTTGACTGCCCAGATTTGGTTCTCTAATTCCTGCTCAGATAACAAATATCTGGTCCTGACAGATAACGCTGTGTGGAGAGATTAGCTAACTGTCGTTGTGATGCAGTAGAGGGAATAAGCCACGAAAGGAAGAGTTAATATTACTGAGCTGACATTGGCAGAGACATTAGACTCTATTAGCTTGGTGAGAAGCAAAACAGAGAAAAACATCCATGAGAGGCCAACTTTTTATTTTATTTTTTGAGCTATTTTTGCTATAGGGTGTGTGAGTTCACCAGAGAGACAGAGAGGGACAGAGAGACAGAAAGCGAGAAATGACCCCAGGGGGATAGCCATGCTGCAATCCCTTCTTTCCATTCTCCTCTCAGGATTTTGGGCATGAATGCACACATGAATTTCAAGCGTCTGGGTCTGGGACTTGAGTTATGGTTGACCATGTAAGAATCCAGTGCTTTAACCACTACACCACCTGCTGACCGCCAAGAGACTAACTTTTAAAGGACAGAGCCAGCAGGTGGTGTAGTGGTTAAGGCAACTGGCTCCCATAGGCCCTACTGTGCAGGTCAATTCCCAACAATAGAGACTTGAAAGACATACATGGTGCATGTGTGAACATGCTCCAAATAACTAGGGGAGAATTGAGAAGAAGGGATTGTGGCATGGCCATTCCCCTGGGGAGTGATTTCTCACTCGCCCTGTCTCTTTCTGTCTCTCTCCAGTGAGTACTTGCACCCTATAGCAAAAATCTAAATACATACATGCATATACCAGATATAAAAAAAAAAAAAAAAAAATCAAAATCAAAAGAAGGAAGAACATTGTTGGCTTAGTGAGAAATTTAATATGAGCTTGCCCTTAATCTTAGACCAAGGAGGGGAGTACATAGAACTGAGGAGGAAGTGGGATCTTTGCTGGGTATTCCCAAATGCTTAAGAAAAATCCACGGTTGCTGTCATCCTAAGAAGAAGCCCTTTGCCTTAGAGACTCTCGAGGCAAGAGATGCTTTACCTGAATCGTGAGATCTAATGTTCGTTGTAACTCTAAGTAGGCTTAAGTAGGCAACATCATTTTTGTTCACAGATAAAAAAACAAATTCTGAGAAATTAAGATCTTGCCCCAAGACTCATAGCTTCTAAGAGGATTAACAGTGAATCATTCAATTTGGATTCACACAAAAGCTCTTTTTACCAAATATTTGGATGCACACACAAAAGCTCTTTTACCAAATGTACTACTCTGTCTAACCAAAATGATTATTTCTGTAACAAAAAAAAATCATAAATGTTTATGTACACAAATATACATTCACACACATAAATACTAATTACTGATTAGACCTGACTACTTGGGAATAAATTATTAACCTGGTTATTCTAATAATAATGCTACACTCGTATGAATATTGGCTTTCTATGTTAGGAAGAGAATATTATCTCAATCCTATTTGGGAAAGTTAATTACCATGCCCCTTTAAAATGCTACCATTGCTATTCAATTTTATCACAGATTTCTTTTTTTTTCTTTTTTTTTTTTTGAGAGAGATTTTTACTTTATGGCACATGTGCCCCCCCCAGAGACAGAAAGCGAGAAATCACCCCCTCAGGGTGGATGGCCATGCTGCAATCCTCTCTCCTTCATTCTCTCAGGATTTTGGGCATGCACACATGCGTGCCTGGTGTGTTTCAAGACTTCAGGTTCTGGGACTTGAACTGTGGTTGAACATGTGGGAGTCCAGTAATACAAGCATTATGTCATCTGCTAGTCCCAATTTTCTCACAGATTTTTAAGATTTTGGTAATGACTGTGGTTTGTTGAAATTCTTGTAGCTAAGTCTGGCATTAATATTTGGATTTATTGGAGGCAGGTAATTGAAGGTAACCAAAAAAGTAGTTAAAACAGTTGGCTTAGAAAAATTCTATTTATATTTTCCTTCTGTTGACAAAAGAAAAAAAAATTTAGAGAGTTTTTTTTTTTTTTTTTTTGTTATAAGGTACATGTGCTTGCCAGAAAGACAGAGAGAGACAGAGAGACAGAAAGTGAGAAATCACCCTCCAGTGGGGATGGCCATACTGCAATCCCTTCTCCTCTAGTCTCCTCTTGGGATCTTCATGGCATGCATGAATTTAAGCCACTGGGTCCAGGACTCGAATTGTGGTCAGCTACATGGGAGTCCAGCGACCTAGCCATTATGCCAACTGCTGGTCCCTAGACAGAAGGAAAGTTTAAGATATATTCCAATGGCAAAAGATGATTTGGCCTGGTTTCTTACTAGATAGGAAGAAAATTTTAACGAAGAAGAAACGATTTGTTGTGGGGTAAGAGATTGAATGATTATATTATTTAAAACATTTAAAAAAAATAAATATTTCTTTCTTTCTTGAGAGAGAGAGAGAATAAGAAAAACAGGGGCCCCCAAGATAGTCTTCTCACACCACAATCCTGTGTCCATCTTTCTGGCCAGCCAGAATCTTAGGCATACCTACTGGTGCTCCTGGTGTTTTTAGGCTGGCCCAGCATCTGAATCTTGGGCTTTCCCCTGTGGCTCCAGTATCGTGCAATGTCACCCCACTGCCTGTGCCATAGATTACAGTACTTTATGTCAAAGAAAAAGGATTATGAAGGGTTCTTTTTACTGGCATACATACATACTTGGTGGGTGCAACATGGGCTTTGATGCTACGTGACAGGGTCACAGCTCAACTTGCTTACTTCTCTGATCTGATAAATTCCTTAAATTCTCTCTGCCTCTGTTTCTTCAGGAACAACATGGATACATGGTAAGTACCTACTTCATTGTGAAGATTGTATATGATAATGCTTCAGGAGAAAAGACGTTTTCAGGTATCCTGATCTGGCTAGTGGTATCAGCCTGGAGCCCTTGATAGGCTGCTTCCATGAACTCACTCCAAACAAAATTACGTGTGTACTGTTCCTGTCATATTTTATCCACTTCTGCAAAATGAGGGCTCATTTTGATTCTACTTGCTCTCTACTAAAGTATACTTAGGGTTCTATAATGTGTGTAACTCTTCCCATGAGCTGGTGGTGAATTACAAAGAACAAATCCTGGGGAGGGGGAGTCCCAAAACAAAGGAGGTAATGGAAAATGAAGGAGAAGAGTGGACAGTGATTGAAGAGGTGTCAGAGAGTAATGATTCAATACATAAAAATAAATGAATCAATAAGTAAATTTCAAAGAAAGCTTAGATTGCTAATAGGAGGGAAAGTTCCTCACAAAATGTTACCACACCATATGCATGTTTGGATCATAGTGTGGTAGAGAAGAGAGCTGACTTTGGCTCCAGAGAGCCTGGTTGAAACCTTGGCTGCACCAATCACTAGTTTTGTGATCTTGGGTAAGTAGCACATTCACCCTGCTCTTCAATTTCCTCACTTGTAAAGAGAGATGATGATAATGATAGACAAGGAAAAGAGTGTTTTGTATTGATTAAAGGAGCTATTATGTGTATAAAGTGCTTAGAATAGGCTAGCAGATGGTGTGGTGTTTAATGTGTTGGAACTCCCACACGACCAGTTGTGGTTCGAGTCCTGGAACTGGTGGCTTGCTTTCTGACTTTCTCTCTCTTTCTCTCTCTCCTTCTCTGTCTCTCTCTCTCCCTTTCTCTGTCTCTCTCACCCCTCTCTTTCTCTCTCCCTCTCTATCTCTCTCTCTCCCTCTCTGTCCCTCTGGTGAGCACACAAGGCCTGTAGCAAAATAAAAAGTTTATTATAAATAAAATTAAATAAATAATTCTTTTAAAAAATAAAGTGCATAGAGTAATAATTATTTTTAAATAGGGCTTTTTTGGGGGTGTCTTGATCCAGTTTTGAGGTGTTGGCTAGAGGCTGGGGAGGTTTTCTCGAGTAGCTGATTAAATGGACATGTCCAACTACTTTCTCTGATTTAGCGTTCACACTCTCGGCTATTATGTATCCACTAGGTCACCCCAGGGCCAGGAACCTGGCAACCAGGAACAGCCTATATGTCCCAGAGCCCCTTGAAATGGTGGTAATTAGCCAATTGTAGGCCTTCTTTTTGTGCTTTCTTTCTTTAACACAGTAAAGGCACTTGATCACCATCCTCCTCTTCCTCTGCCTCAGATTGAACCTGGTGCTTCCCTTAGTGATCTGCATGCTCTGTTGCATTCTTCGTAGAGGCCATAGTGTAACAGAATTGTAAAACTCAATCCTGTTTCTCTCTTGATCTATGTCTGGCCTCATCCCACCTTGCCCAAGGTAATATGGTTAAAACACTACTCAGTTTACCCACTGTTGTTTGAGTACATGGTAACTACACAATAAATGGTAGCTATTATTATTAGAATTTCAATGTTTAGTGTGATGTTAGAACAAATATCACTAGCTTAAGTCTTTGAGGAAATGCAGTCTAAAGCTATGCTAACTTCTACATACTATTCCAGAATCTTTATCCCCTAGGTTCATTATGAAAATGGATTTGCATTAGACTCATACAACTTAAAAAGTTAAGTTAAAGCTGGATATGATCTTGAAGATCTCTTGGTTTAAACTTTTCATTTTTCAGATAAAGTGGTGTGAAGATAGAGAGGGCAAGTAACTTAGTAAAAAATTGCACAATCAATGAGCAGCTAAGCCAGGACCAGGCCCAGTTCTTAATGACTCTTGATGGGCACTGAATCACCAAGATAAAACAATGGTGCAACAGTGGGCTTGGAGACCTGCTGA